AATAAAACAATAATTTATATAAATTATTTTATATTGATAAAAAATAAAAATATTTATCTAGACAATTAAATAAATATAATTTAAATATATTAATCATATGTGATTAAAATAAAATAAATAGAAAAAACAATTAAAAATAATTAATATATTTTAATATTACTGTCTTTAAATTTGATTACTCATTATCATGTTATGAAAAGATATAAATTTTTTGAAATTCAAACAATTTAAAAACAGAATCAATATTAAAGTAATAAAATCAAATATTATTTTAAGTATAATTACATGAAATATTAATGAAAATAAATACTTTTTAACGATCCTATCACCAATAAGATAAATAATTCGTTCATTTAATTGAATAATATACTATTATAAAAAATATTAATGGGTATAACATTCATGTAATAATTATGATCATCAATCTCAAAAACACAAATTTCTTTTTCTTGTAATTTTTTTTAAAGTAATTTCTTGTATATTTTGACAAGATGTTTGGTCTTTATTATTATAAAAATAATATATATCCAGTTACTTTTCTTTATTTTATTTTTTAAAACATCATTATCTTGTTTAATTAGTCCAGTCACGATCACATTTAAAGTCATATTCAATTCAACAGTCACGACTTAAAAAAAATATGAATAAAATATTTTATATATTCATTAATGAATCATAACAAGTAATGTGAACCTGTTAATATTTATGAACAACTTGTTATATTCTTCAAATTCAAGTCATATAAAAATCAACATTATCATAATTATATATAAAATTAGAATATTAATTTAATAATAATTACATTATATATTGCAAAAGATACCATAAAGAATATATAAAAATAAAGTGATAATTATTTAATCAAGATGTTATAATCTTTTTATTAATAATATGTAATAAAATAATATTAATATATATATATATATATATATATATATATAATTATGAAATAAGATATCAAGATATATATATATAGAAAAAACAAAATATTTGTTATATATTTCATTTTATATTATTTATGTACAAATGTAATTAAAAAATATATCTCAACAATTATACATATTTAAATTATATAAATAATAAAAATTAATAAAAAAATTAAGAAATCATTTTAAGTATAAAATAATATATTTTATAATAATTTTCTTTATTATTAAATATAAAAATCACTCATTTGTCTATTCTAATCCCTTTTCACTTTATATTTTTCATAAAACCTAAAAGAAAATCGGATAGATATCATTAACTCACCTCACTTGTCCCATCAATATATAACAAGAGGGTTTGAGAAATTTTCCAAATTAAGATGTATAATAAGAAACATAAGGTTATCTATCATCTCTTTTAATTTGATGCTCTAAATGTTGGAGAAAATATTAGATTTTCATTGTTTTTCTTTATATTGTGATGTGTAACAGTGTTATGTTCTTATTTGAAAATAAATTGTTTCTAACATATTATAAATGCTCCTATCGAGCATATATGATATAGACAACATTATTTAAAATAATTAATGTAAGAATACTTGTCATCATCATATAATTATTATTAATTCTGATCATGATAACAATCAACCAGAAATGTTTAAATCAGGCGTTTAGTTCTGGTTTAATTAGTCAAATCAAACATACACAAAATCAAGTAATTTGGTTTCAAATTAATATAGGATGGAAATTTAGGTTGAATTTGTCCTTTCCTACGTTTATAAGGGGAGATAGACTAACTAACAACATTTGAAATAATATAGAGAGAGAGTAGTGGATCTTAAAATTAAGTTTGAAATAAAATAATACATAACATGCAATTAAATGAAAAAAATATAAAAAATAATAAAATATAGGAATGTGAAATAATACCATTTCTAATTTTTTCTATTTAATTATTTATTTTAATATTTATGAAAATAAATAAATAAAACTCAGAAATTTGTATATAATATTTTATTTAATAAATTATTATATTTTAAATATTTATAACAATTTTGAGGTGTCAAAACTAAATATATTTAAATAATTTGAAAATATGTGGGAGGGTCCACGTATTAACAAAGATCCACTCATATATATTAAGATAACATTGATAAATATATCAAACCATTAATTATAAAATAAAATAAAAATAAAATGAATCATAATTTATAATATTATATATAATAATAATTTAAAATTATTTTTATAATGTAATTAATTTAATTAAAAAAATATATTAGGATGAACTCTCGTGACATGCTATAACTAACGAACTATGTAATGAAGTTAAAGTGAGTAAATAAATTAAAATGTTGAACCTATTCTATATCATTCATGACCAATAGGTGAGTTGATGATACACATAACTCAGCCTAATATTACCATTCATACTCTTATAATTGTAAAAAAAATAAAAAATACAATTATATACAATATAATAAATAATTAAGTCGATAACTTAAAAGTGATGCGACATATTGATTTAATACATTAATTAATACATTCTAAATTATTTATTAAATTAACTTTTAATGTCATTTTTTACTAATAAAATAATTTTATTGTTTTAATGGGATTAGACTAAAATAATTATTATATATATATTGAAAAATATTTCGATATAATCATTAAGATTAATATTGTTAGGTTTTACATCAATATATTCTAAAAAAAAATAACGATGAATGAAAAAATTAACTCACGTATATGTATATATTAATAAATAAATCACAAGGTTACTATTCCTAATAAGTTAAAAAAATTATTTTTTACTTATAAGTTATATTTTGTTGTTGTTGTTGTGTTGACGATGAAGCTATATTAATAATTATATTTGTTAGTCATGCAGTAAGCATGTGACTCGCGGCTCGCGTGGCCTGCATAAACAAATTGGTGGCAAATAAACGTGTAAAGACGGTGAGAAAGGTTAGTTATTAATTTATTTCACAACAATTAAAATAAATAATTTAAATTTTATTATTACATAATAAAAATATTAGATCAAAATACTCTTATTTTTTTAAATGAAATTATTTATATAGAATTATTGAAATAAAATATATATTAATGTAAATTTATATTTTTTTTATTGTTTATAAATTTTTCAACATATTTAATCGTTTATAGAAACATATCTTCATTTTTAATCTTAATATTTTTGTTTGATTCCTATTTCTTATAGTTAATTTGAATTAACTATAATTAATACACGTATATCTATAATTTTAATTATTTATTTAATTCATACTTGTATATTTTCTTATCAAGATATTAAAGTTATCATCCTTTACCATTTTTTCACTTCTTGAAATGACCAAATTATTAATTATACTTTTTCAAAGTTAAAGGTTTTTAGTATATTATTCAATTAAAATCATTTTATGATTTTTTTAAAAAAATTATCAAAATTGTTTCATCATATGAATGATAATTTAAAATTTAACATGTGAAAGATTTTGCATCTTTTAAGATGTATCTCAATTCAAAATTAAATATAATAGTGTGTTTCTTTTACTTTTAATTCTGAAATTATGTAAAAGGGATTATTTGTAGGTAAGGTAGAAAATACTATATTTTTATTATTGTAAAACAATATTAAAACTATATTTGTATTGAATAATGTGATGTTTTCTTGATATTGATCTTATATTTATGGTAACACTGGACAGTTGAAATTTTCATTTTCCTAACTTATTGACAACGACTTTTGTATTTATGATTGCTTGTATTAATATACATGTTTATGGTATTTTCTATAAATATTAATAATTTTGTTAAACAGTTTTTATTTTTTTTATTGTAAAAGCTTTGAAACTATTAATCCATTAAAAATATTTCATGCTACAATTTTTAATGTTGTTATTTTAAAGTATTAGACAATTCATTTGGTTTTATAGCTCTCATTGTTTAATTTCCCACTTAAAAAAAGATTTAGTCTTTACACAACTTAAAGTTTGTTTGGTAAAACTTTTTTTAACTTTGTGAAACCATCGTAAAACTTTTTTAATAACGATATTTTGTCACAAACATTTGTGTAAGGACTATATTTTTACATTAAGAAAACTAAATTAAATACAATATGTAAATTATATTATTTATTTAAATTATGTAATGATGTGAATTCAATTATTTGTTTATGAAGGTACAATCAGTATTATTTTTTTTGTATTATTCACGAGAGAAACAATCACGTTTGAATTAGAAAATCAATACCAGTCACAATCTCTTCATGTATTGTGAACCAGATTCACAGGTTTCTGGACCATGAATAAGTTAACCTAACTTTGATATAATATATTAATTTCATCGTTACATATAGTTAAATTGTAAAATTCAAAGCGTAGAACTAAAATATGGTATATTTGATAATATATTTTTCAAGATAATAATAATTATAATTTGTTTATTAAGTATAAAAAAAGTATGTTTATAAAATTCTATATACATTTATATCACCTTCAACTCTTCCTACAAATATTGGGTATAATATTTGAAGCCGTATATTTTATATTTAAATTTGTCATGAATAATTTAGGCCAAATTAATTCAATAAGACCGAGACAAGTAATGTGATACATAATTTTGAGGTAGATTCATATATTAATGTTATTTTATTAAAAATATAATAGAGATATATGCTTATTTTAAAGCTGTAAATATATAAATGTCATTTAATACAACATTAATTAAGAAAAATAAGTGTAATTTATGTGGTTAGGCAAAGAAGGATTCGTATTCTAGAAAACTAACAAAATCTTGTATTTAAACAAATTTGTCTACAAAATAAATAATAATGGCAGCTCCACCCGTCATAGAGGATGTGACAAGAAATATACAACAGTTCTCATTTTCAACCGCAAATAAATAGATAAATAAATAAATAATAAATAGTTATATATTGGTTTGCCGAATTTGCCATACCACGAGGTGAAGAAGTCACCGTCTGTGCGAGGGAAGATCTATTGCGCAGTTACAAAACCTCCACGGAACGTGAATTGTGGTTATTGGAATTCGAGAGCAGAAGCTTCGAGAATGGGGAGTTTGGGAGCGATTCTGAAGCATCCAGATGACTTCTACCCGTTGCTGAAGCTCAAAATGGCCGCCAGAAACGCCGAGAAGCAGATCCCGCCAGAGCCGCACTGGGCCTTCTGTTACACTATGCTCCACAAGGTTTCTAGAAGCTTCGCTCTCGTCATTCAGCAACTCGGTACCGACCTTCGCAACGCCGTTAGTTCCTTCCGTTTTCTCTCCCTGGTTTACACCGTTCTTTTCTTCTGCTTTTGATTCCGTGTTTTTCTCAACTGAACTCGTTTTTTTTTTCCTCTCAGGTTTGCATATTCTATCTGGTTCTTCGAGCGCTCGACACCGTTGGTTTGTATTCGTATATTCAATTTGCAACCCGCGCTGTTTATTGTTTAGTTTTTTGGTAGATTGGATGATGAATGAGTGTTAGTATTACCGGTTTTAATTAACTAGTCTGTGTCGATATGTGCATATGTGGTTGTTTTTTATGCTTAGTTTTCATTTTTTTTTAACTTTGAATTTTGTGCAACGAAATGAAGAAATTGATTTTAAGATTCTGTTCTTTCTGAAAGCTCTTGAAAATGTAAACTCAACAAAAAAGCAGTAGCACGTTTTTTATTTTTTTCCACAACATCTTTGCTTTTTTTAAAACACTTAAGTGTTATGGAAGGCACGCATAGTTGGCTTATACTGAAAGTAATCTGAGTCTCTATCAATATGCTGGTTATTGTGTCCATTGCCTTTGGATGATTCATGTTTAAACCTAAAATTATTCTATAGAGTAACTCTTCCACAATGAAAATGAAAGACTATCGATATGGTTGTAACTCGTTTTTTTTTATTTATTTTTTGGACAGAGGATGATACTAGCATAGCTACAGATGTCAAGGTGCCAATACTGATAGCCTTTCACCGTCATATTTATGATCGTGATTGGCACTTTTCATGTGAGAATCTCATTCTTTATTCTCTTTTTTACTAATATTTTACTAAGATAAACCCATCTAACTTGGTTTTCAGAAATTGAAATGGATTTTAAACTACATACAGGAATTACTTGTAATGATATTAAAGGCAACCTTTATCAATCATGAGGATAATGGTTTTATTGTATATGTGCCTCAAATTTATTTATGCTGATCTGCACACTAATTGTTTCTAATGTAACTAGGTGGCACAAAGGAGTACAAAGTTCTAATGGACCAGATTCATCATGTTTCAACTGCTTTTCTGGAACTTGGAAAGAAGTCAGTTTTTATCCTTGCTTATTTACCTAAATTGAACTTTAATATTCCACAGCACATGTGGTTCTGAGTTGCTGTTTATTTTTTTCCTTGATTTAATCATCATCAGCAGCCCTTTCGGGTTGTAGTTCCGATTTTATGCTAACTTTGGTTATTACCCTTCGGGAATTGGGGTTGTGTACTGTTTATCATTAATACATGTACCAATGTGATATCATATAGAAGTTAGTATTAGAATAACATGTATGGATTCTATTTGTATCCCTTTTTTTGTCAGGAATATCAAAATTTGGATTGGAATTAACTTTATTGATTGTTCACTACATATCAATGGTGCTTTGTATTTGTGATTGATAAGAATTATCAATTTCTGGGTTCCTGTCCAATTGCTATTTACATTCCACTTGGTCTTTGGTATGATTATGCATAAAATACCTTTTAGGGCTTAAAAGGGGGAGGAGGGAATCTCATCTATAATGTCTTGGTGCATTCATATTGTTCAAATTAAAGATATTTCACTACCGATGGAGATGTGTATATGGACCATTGATTCACTTCCTTTTTATTAGATTCTCTCAGTTGTATATGTAATTAAAATTATGGCTGTAAATTCTATAACAAACAAGTTAAATCTTGGTCCATGATTTTTGCAGCTATCAGGAAGCAATTGAGGACATTACCAAAAGAATGGGTGCTGGAATGGCCAAATTTATTTGCAAGGAGGTTTGTCGCACACGGCTTCTGATATGCATATATTCCTTTTATTAACTTATAATTAATATTGTAAACCTCTGTGACTGACAAGACATCATATGAAGTTTGTCATTCCTTTAAATGATGTCTCCATCTGCTAGTTTCTGGCTTTTAATGATTTTTGGTGTTTTAAATTATCTTGTTTAGGTAGATGGCAATTTAGGGAAAGGAGCCATATAATGATTTGAAAACAGATAGTCTTTTAGTTTTTATTTTAACATAACAATTCCTTAAAATTCGATGTTGTACTATTATTATTAGTGCAACTATTCTAAATATCTACACAGCACTATTCTGCGATGCTTTCAACATAGAAAGATCATCTTGATTTATGCCCTATAAACCTTTTTTTCATCTGCAGGTTGAAACAATTGATGACTATGATGAATATTGTCACTACGTGGCTGGACTTGTTGGGCTTGGTTTATCAAAGCTATTCCATGCCTCTGGTAAAGAAGATCTGGCTTCAGATTCCCTTTCCAATTCAATGGGCTTATTTCTTCAGGTATCATGGTTGTAACATACGAAAACTACAGTATGGTTGCAATTGTTTACTTACGTTTTATGCTATCTCTTGAGATTGCAGAAAACTAACATCATTCGAGATTATCTGGAAGACATCAATGAGATCCCCAAGTCACGCATGTTTTGGCCAAGACAGATTTGGAGTAAATATGTTAACAAACTCGAGGTTTGTCTCTATGCTACAAGAATTTATATTTAGCCTCAATTTTTTAAAGCTAGAAAATCAATTCTCACATTCTCCCATGAAAAGCACATTTTCCATGGAAAATATGTGGTTCAGATTAATTTAAGCACACATCTCACTCATAATCGACAGTTTGAAATCAGTTTCATCAAACATTAAACTGAAGGGGCATTAGTCTCACATGGTGTGATGGTGAAATCAAATTTTCCAGTCTCACTTTTTCCTTATACACATGAAATACCTTTTTAACTTTTATTCCATGTCCAGGTGTGCTTATGTATGGTTTTCTTCTTTGTTACTCCAATTCAATTTTTATAATCCAGGATTTGAAATATGAGGAGAACTCTGTTAAGGCAGTGCAATGCTTAAATGACATGATCACTAATGCTCTGATGCATGCTGAAGATTGCCTAACATACATGGCTGCTTTACGGGACCTGGCTATATTTCGATTTTGTGCTATACCCCAGGTTCTGTTCTTTTACTCAGTAACTTCTCATTTAACTGTTATTTAGTTTACAACACTCAGTGTTGCAATGATACACCATCATTTTCTGCATGTTTTATATTGTTTGCAGATCATGTTATGTTTCAGAAGATTTGACTCATTTTAGCTTCCTATCAGTTCAAATAAAATAGGAAAAAGTAAAATTAATTTGTGCTGTCAGTTGCTTCTAAGATTGTAGTTTAACAGCGCCCAATGTGTTAATAACACAATATTATACAGAATTTTGTAAAATGTTTTACCGAAACATAGTGGTAGGCAAGCCTTGAAACAGAATATTTTTAATAGTAACTTCATGTACAATAAATGTGAGAATACAGATCATCTTCCTATGGTTAAGTGATTTTCTATATCATGAGTGCCCGAGGGTTTAGTTAATATCATATGGAATACGATTTTTTTTTTCTCAAGCTGCATATGTTCTAGAGGAAGAAGCTGCATGGATCGTAGGTTTTAGCCCCTAAAGTCACAGTACTTTTATGGTGGATTTACTAGGTTCAATCTGATGCTATGTGGAACCTATTTTTCCTTAAGTTCTATTATTTTTTGGGGTGGGAGGGCTGTTAGTTATTGTTTCATATTCATTTTATGTGTATGATTTATGTTTTAAGCAATACTTATTTTCATAATTTTTTCGCAGTATTTATATGTTTATTTGACATATGCTGCATTTTGACAGATAATGGCAATTGGAACACTTGCGTTATGTTACAACAACATTGAGGTCTTCAGAGGTGTAGTTAAAATGAGGCGAGGTAACAACAAAATTTTTGATACTAAAGTCCTTGTGATTTGATTTTGAGGCATGCTAAACGTAAAGCCAAAATTGGTATATAATATAAGAGAGGGCATCTGTTTTTGAAGTCAAACGAATAGTGAATTGCTGCAATTTGGATTTTATGTTATTTCATGCGGAATTAATCTCCAGAAAATTACCTAGGAATCTATTTGTTATGGAACGTGCATATACATTTGTGTCAAACATAACATTTATACAATGGGCCTGAGTGACGTCATTGAACATATCCTGTTAGATTCTGTGATTGTATCTTGGATGTTCAAATATTACATCTAAATAAATACTTTGCATCCTCCTATAGCACACATCTCCTATGGCATTCTCCTCTTATGGATGTTGGTTAAGAACTGGAAAGACAGTTTGAACTTCGAAAAAGTTGGCAACTCTATGATGGATATCCCTATAGTTTTGAAGCAAATGATAATACCATAACCTAGATGAATATACATTAGCTGAGGCGTTTGCATGGTTTCCTTTCCTCCCATTCCATTTGGGAAGTTTTTTTTTTTTTTTTTTTTTTCATTTTGGAATGGAAAATGATCAACATGTAGCTATTGGTTTTGTATTTGTTTTGTTATTTACTGTCACTGTTTGTGGTTGTGTAATATCAAACTAGATGTTATTTATTTTTGTCTGTAATTTTGTAGGTTTAACTGCCAAGGTAATTGACCGAACAAAGACCATGGCCGATGTCTATGGTGCTTTCTTTGATTTTGCTAGTATGTTGGAGGCCAAGGTATGAATCTTTCATCGTCCTTAACACCTTATTAGGTTTGTGACAGAATAATGTGAACACTACTCTGTTGCATTCAACATTGGATAGTTTTCCTACTTCCTGCTGAATTTATTACGGCAAACACATTAACTTTTGGAAAAAATGTTGTAAATGGGAGGAGAGTGGCACTTGAACTCTTGTATATGATTTTTCATATATGCAAAGCCATATTTCTTGCCACAATACGGTAGCAATTGCTACAATAGCTATTAAGTATTTGAAATCATTGACTGAACAATAAAGCAAGTTAGTCCTATACTATAAGTCTTCATTGGATCGCAGAGTCACTAAATTCTTTTGTTTATTCTACAATGAACAACCTGACACTGGAAGAGCTTAGCTTATTCCAAAGCATCCCTGACACTCTCTAGTTTAGGCATAGAGGGTGCCGCATCCAAGGCAAAGCAAGAGCTAACTGCCTATTTTTTTCCATCCTTATTTAAAAGGATCACACTTTGGTTCATCGATGACTTGATGCGTACACACGTCAAAAATTGTTATGGTTGGGTGTGTTTTCCCAAGAAAATAGCAAATAACACTTGATCCTCACCATTCCATTAACCTAAAGGAGAGACATTTTTGCGTAGTCAAAATTTAAAATGCAGATCATTTGCAGTTTTTTTTCCTATGGCTGCAGTTCTTCAAGCTGTCTTTTTTCAAATATAGAGGTTCAACATTTTACATTGTAGGTTGACAAAAATGATCCCAATGCAACAAAAACATTGAGCAGGCTGGAAGCTATACAGAAAACTTGCAGAGAATCTGGTCTCTTAAGTGAAAGGTATGCACGTAACCGATTTACTTTAAAAGTATATTTTCTACCATTCAGTCTAACAAACCTGTGGTTGATTTAAGCAGGAAATCTTACATTCTGAAGAATGAAAATGGATATGGCTCAACCATGGTATGTTTTTGCCTTTTGTTTCTTTAAACTAGATTCTGCATTTCTATGTACTGACAGAAACCATCCCTGCAGATTGTCATACTGGTCATCATGGTTTCCATCATTTTTGCTTATCTGTCTGCTAACCACCAAAATAACTAGTGTGAGTTCTATTGTTAATTTTAATGTGCGATTGAAATTGTAAGAACAATTATCTTATTTATAAAATTGTCCACTCCTTTTTTTAATTAATTAGCTTTACCTTTCCGAACATGGATAGGAATGATACACTGATAGCATGCATCATTCCACGGAATGTGAACTTGCTCGCATGGAAGCAATATGATAGCTACAGTTGACTATCGTGAACTTCGATTGAAAATTAGTCGAAAATATAGTGTAAATAACCTTCTGTGTTAGTTTGGGTGGCCACTGAACTAGAGAGGTGTAGTTAGAAACTAAAACTATCATCTCATTGTCGTGGGAGGAGGCTTAGAAATAGTTCTTCTAATTAAATTGTTAATATACTTTCTAATGAAATTTATTAAAAATTACAGAATTAGAATAAAAATTAATTAAATATATTATGAACTCTACAAATTTGTGACTTCTGTTAAACTTTTGTCAATAAAAGAGGGGATTTTAGTTTTAATCAATATTTGAGTTGGAAGTTGTGGTTAAATAAAGTCATTTCAAGTGGCCTTCATGATTCTAAATCTTCACATTGACTTGTAAGAGTTATATATAATAAATTTCTAGTGAGACCAGCCCACTCTTAAATAAAGTAACAAATAAGTTAGATGTGTGTATAAATAAACAGAATAACATTTTATTTTATCTCAATACTTTAAAATATTGGTTTGGCCTTTTAATTAACTTTTAAATGTTTTTAGCCTTTACATATTTCTTCTTTAAAGATAGAATAAAAAATTGATTTTGTTCCTCCATTCCATAATTTTTCTAGTCCCCTGTCATTCATTTTAGAAATGAACTTTTTACATTATGAAAAAACTTTACTCGGTTAACTTCAAAATGAAATCTGACATCCCTAGTCACCGGTCGTTTATTTCAGTGTATCTTTTGAAAATGAAATCTGACATCTCTAATCATCTGTCATTAACTTCATGTTAATTATACCTGACATCTCCATTTGTTGCACTGATCCCAATCTAACAGTTTTAGAGAGGCACTTTTTGATCAATGTACGAAGATGAATTTAAATGAGCATCATTCAAGAATATGAAAACCAAATTAAGTTTGTATATAGTCTATATCTATGTATATAAAATAGCTCAAAGACACAGATATTGCAAGATTATTCCCTCAAAGCACGTTTTATTGTCCAGAGTTCTTCTAATAATAAATATAAAAGAAACTTAATTAAGCACCTCGCATGAATGCATCAGGAATATTGCAAGACTGACTAAAAAAAATACCATGGTCGGAAACAACCAGGCCAATTGAAAAGACATGGGCTAATGTTGATAACCTAATAAAGAAAGTAATCAACTTGCGTTGGTTGAGCTTTCTGATGCTATTACTACGTTCGGTAGGTACTTCCAACAGCGCCTGTGAACTCCACTGATTTTTTTTGTAGCATCTGCTAATGGCAAGCCTGCAATATGTTGTACAATATCAAATCAATTCAGAAAGTACTAAAAAATGCTTCAGTATTTACGCAAAGCTTCACACAATCTACACTTTCTTTTAGGTAAGTTATGCTTCACAAAATATTCACAGAGAATTTATCAAATAAATCTGTCAAGTTGTAACAAGCGAGAGAGAGTCGTATCAGTACGACTTATACTTTTTTGTTTTTTAATAATTAATATAAAATTATTATTATTATTATTAATTTTATTATGAAATAATAAGAATATTGATAATATAAAGTATATTATTATTTTTATTAATAATAATAAATTGGTCCTCTCTATATACCGGAGTTTTTTTCTTTTTATTTTTATTCATTTAATCAATGTAGTTAACTTGTACAGTTCACTAGAATGTCCATGAATCTTATCATCAACTTAAATTAATTTCAAAATATAAGTTTTAAGCTGTTTATTAATAAATTTATTTTTAATAAATTATTACATTAATAAACTTTTAATAATTTATGGCTATTATTAATAAAATCATAATATTTTTATATTATTATTATTTATTTAATTAAAAATAAAAATTACTTATTTTATTAAAAATTAAAATTAAAATAATTATGATTAAATATATTAATAATATAAAATATTATTATCATATTTTTATTTATAATAATAATAATAAATTCTTAAAAAAGTAAAAGTCATTATATGTAATACGTCTTTTATGTAAAACTATATATAAAAATTATACTATGTAACACAATTCATATCTAATAATAAAAAAATATAAAAGTCATTCTATATAATATGACTATTATATTAAATATATAATAGTCCTAAAATAATAAAAATTAAAAGTCATTATATGATTTTTATGTAAACTAAACATATAAAAGTCTTACAACACGACTTCTACCTAAAATAATAAAATAAAAATTAAACTGAATATGACTAACCTAAATTTGTTTTTTTTTTAATTTATTCATTTCAGTAAATTAAAAAAAAAAACATTTTTATAAAAGAAAATAACAAAAGTTCATTACAACCCAAAATAAATGCTATAACACCCTTCAAGGAATCTTCACCTCGACAATGTTAGGCATGTTCCTTTAGAGATATCAAAGGAACACTTCTATTAAAATTCATAAAAATATATTTACACGTTTTCAGTAGCTGTTAGAATAGATGAAATTAAGATCTACTTGAATTTTGGGGTGTTGAACTAGTGAATGAAAATGTAAAGAAGTTTTGGTTGAAGTAGTTCAAGACAAGGAACCAGCATAATTGATTTGGTATTATGCCAGGCAGGACTGTGTAGGCTAAATTTTGCAATAAATAACTCCAACAGAACCTTCTAAGTGAATTCATAAACACATAATCCAGTTCAAATAAAAACTACAAATTCCTCATCGAAGAATCCATAAGCACCGCAGTATTATCAAAAATACTGACAAGCAATATTGCTATTAAATGGAAACAAGCATGGAAAGTCAGTGAAATATCAGTTAAACAAAATTTATAATTTCTAATCATCATAATTGACAGACGGAACCTGTTATAATTTGGAACTCAGAAAGGCATGAAGCTTGCCCATCAGATGAAACTCAATCCACTCGTAAGTCCTCAATTAGAAATTCCAGACATTTTTTTCACTAACCTAATTTTTATCGTTTATCAAAATAGTACAGTTTCTAAAGTGTTCATACATAATAGATTGATAAGTGCCTATTATAGATTAATTATCCTAAATGGTCATTGAGACAAATTCTCGTGTAAGAATTCAGAAAGGCACTCTTATCCTAGCCTACATTTTCATTGAAGAATAGCAGTGCAGAATGATTATCAGTGCCTTCAACAAACAAACCCTGCTGAACATAGAATTGAAAAAAAAAATCCAAAAGTCAAAAACCCTAATACAACTTATGACACGAACCGTTTTTATAAGCAATCCCCCATCCTTTTCCATGTCTTCTATCGTGCAAAAACATATGTGAAATAAAATTAAAAAGAAAAAGTCTCATGAGAACTGAGAAAAGCAAAAGAATAAATCATTGTGACACACAATCTGAAATAGTTGAAATCCGATACAAACAACAGAAGGACAAGAAACAAGATTAGGATCGAAAGATCAGCACCTTGTAGAGATTGAGTTTAGTGATTTCGTAAGAAACTTCATTCCAGTGAGTCTTGGCCATGTGGTAGCCAATTCCCCAGTTAGGTAAGAACTGAGCCATCTCAATCAAGTTCTTCTTTCTTCGTTTCGATTTCTTAGGGTTCTGAGCAGAAGAAACAGCAGACGAAGTAGAAGAGGAAAAAGAGCTAAAGGCACTCATGAAGTTGAGCGGACACCTTAGTAAGTGAGAGTTTCGAACAGATTCAACTCTGCTACCCAATGCACTTGCCATTGCTTTTCTGTTAAAATCTCTATGGAGAACCAAATGCAAAATGCCAAAAAGAATGCACCAACACTATCTTTTAAACTTTCTAAACCGCAGAAAATCCAAAACAAGTTGGTAGAAGAAGAGATAATCATACCTTTTCTTTTCTCAGGTCCTGAAAGCGTGGCCGTGACCGTGGCCCGTGGGGGATGCTGCTGGCTCGCCTTGCCTTGTGCGCGAGGAGGAGAAGAGAATAGAACAGAAATCCGCGTGGCTGCTTCTGCTGCTGGCTTGCCTTGCCTTCTCGTCCAGCCGTATGAGGGGAGGAGATGAAGAAGATAATAAGGAAAAGGAAAGTTGCTCTGAGTTAGAGGACAGACAGCCTCCTAAAGAAAATATCGAGAAAGGAATTAACAGAAAGATTCTAACAATCATCATGTATGGTCCATGACCTCACTACGGACAAATCAACATAACTGACTTAATTTTAGAATATGCTCTGACACATGCAAATAAATATTTACTAACAATAAATAAATACTGGAATTTCTTTAGTTTAGTGGATTTATTTTTGGGCCTGATATCCTCCTCTTCTTCAATATTAAGTGGGACTTCATATAACATCACCATCCTCATCGGCATAAGTATTGAAGGTTGGACCACTCTTCCCATGAAGTATCGTCGGGAGAAAGACCTTGCCACTGGACCAAGGCCATGCGTGTTGGGACTCCATTGACCATAGCAGTCTTGAAACCCAGACCAGTAAGTGGGGTTACCAAGGGATGATTGGCATAAGAGTCTGGGGGAAGAGAGTCAATGGTGCTAGGGGGAATACCCACATGAGCCTTCAAAACTGAACTATGGAAAACATTGTGGATATTGAAAGTGGCAGGTAAGTCAAGTTTGTAGGCAACTGGTCCGATCTTTAAGGCCCATAAAAACGTTTGGACAGCTTATGAAACTTAGCACCCGAAAGCGATGATTGACGATAGGGTTGGAGCTTAACATAAACCCAGGATCCCACCTCAAAACTGAGTTCTATGCGCTTCAAATCCGCATTCCTTTTCATCCGTTTTTGGGCTTTCAGCAGATTATGCCGCAGGAGTGAGAGAACTTCTTCACGTGAGGAGAGTAATGAATCACAACCAGCAACTTGAGAGGTTCCAGCCGTATGTGGGGAGGAGATGAAGAAGATACCCAGGCGTGGTGGAGTGTGCATGAGGATGGATCGCTGCCTTGCCGGCGTCGGAGCCTAGTGAGGGGGGTGAGTAAGGAACACTGCCTTGAAGCTGTCGCCGCAGAGCGAGGTGAGGAGGTGAGGATGGATCGCTGCCTTACCGCCGCCGCCGCCGCCGCCGCCGCGTGAGGGAGGAAGTGAGGGGGAGACAAACCGCGTCAGTGGAAAGGAAAGAAGGTGGGAGTGAGTGAGGTGTCATCTGAGTAAGTAATGACGGGCCAGCCCACCCGTCCTTGGCCCACACTCTGTTTATATGCAGTAGAAACACGAATTTTATATTTCTTAAACCAGAGAATAAATCACATTTTTTTTTATAAATGTAGAGATTAGATACATAATTTTTTTTTTTTTTATGAAATGAAACAAAAACTTCGAAATATTAAGGAATCAAAACTATATCCGAATTAAACATATAAGATGTATATACAAAATTGAAACAATTAATAAAATTAGTGGATGAAATTAAATAATTGATTGAAAAAAAGTAATAATACGTGAGTAATATTCAAATATTTACTTCAGGTAAAATAATTATTGTTCATCCTTAATTTTAAGATTAGTTTAGATCCATATTCGAATCAATATAGGCAACTTGGTTCACAAACAAAGTGAACTAAAAAAATCCGGTTTTGTACTCGTGAATAGCATAAATCATTTACATTCATTATAATAACGATGACAATAAATCTAAATTGGAAACCAATTTTTTCTTATTTAAATTGATTAAAAGGATCCTTCAAATAACAGATTGTGATTAAATGACATTAGCATGTAAATAAACTCATACAAAATTATCTTCACTTAATGATCTCAACTTCAAGTTTGTCCAGAACAAACCATTAAATTCTATTTAAAAAAAAAAAACTAAATTAGATCCTCTAAAGTGTGGTTGTATCATAATTTTGAGTGATTTCACTTATTGAAGTGTGGTAATGAAAAAATAGTTTTATTAAAATCTGATTTTGAGCTTTTTTTTTTTTTTTCAAGTTATGACCAATATGTTAAAGTTTTAAATAATTTCACTAGTTAAATATATTTGTAGTATTTTACTTAAAATCACTTTAGTTTATATTTCAACATGTTTATGGATGCGTAAATGTGAGTCCAAAAGATTCACCTTAAATAATCCAAAATCAGTTTAAAATACCAATGAATTTGAGAAAAATATTCACATATTTGATTTTATATGAAATGAAAGATTTTAAATCTAAATATGATTGACACTACAGGAATAAAAAAATTATGTTGAATTTTACCTATCAACTTCTAAAATAAAAAATTCAAATAGAAATAATTTCACTTCAACATCAATTTTAACCAAAATAAATTTGATGGTTGAAGTCGCATAAACACTTTTATATAAAGAAAACAAGTTGAGTGCAATAAAATAAAAGGGGGTACCAAAATATTCATATATAAATTCTACATGATAATCACAAGGGGGAAGTTTCCATCTGTATCTGAAATCAATTGGTTTTACTAAATCAAAACATACATACAAATTTCGCACGTCAAGAAACCAACTCAACAGGAAAAGCTTAAAACACTTCAGCCACCTTACTTGCAAGAACTCGCTCCCTCCTTTCAATGTAACTAAATGGAAACCAACCTGCCTTGCCTTTGCATTCGCCCTCGGCCCATCCACTGTTTGTCACCTGTTAAAATCATAGCCACCATAATCACATGTCAAAGGATAATAAGGCCAACTTGAAAAACAAGGTTTTGTGTTACTCAAGAACGACAGCTTTATTTGGGACAACACAAGCCACATCATAAACAGATGACCAAACAATCATTCAGTGATGAATGGGCAATAAATTGATCATGTTCAGACTTCATATCAGGATCAATTATGTTTTAGTTCTGTTTTGAAGGGCTTCACTATTGCATAATGATATAAAAGCACTCTACCTCGTTATTCCCGCATCTGTTTTGAAATTATATTAATCTGTTACCATAAGTGAAACGATGGTTGAAAATTATAATGTAATTCAAGAGAAGCACCCTCCATAACCGGGAGGCCGGGTGGTGGGGGGGTTAGGGAAGGGTTTGCGAGATAACCAACGAACCTTTCGAACAACAATGTAATCACCAACAGATAGATTTAGCTCCACGTCGGATACAGCAGAATATGGAAATAAAACCTGCGAGAAGAGCAAAAGTTACAAAAGAAAAAAGTATCAACTGTTTTCAAAATTAATTATTTGTAGGAGTTTCCCTGTGTTCAAGAGAGTAGAAACGATCTCGTCGTACAAACCTCTCCTAAGAAGTAACCCATGCTATCTGTTGATCCATTATGTGTCTGAGATGCATAGACACCATTTACTTCCTCATATGACGGAGGTGGTGGCATGCTGCTATCCAGACTAGGAGTAGGAGGGGTTTCAATTCGTCGTTGTTCTGATATCATCTATCATCAAATATACATATAGCATGAAATCATATCTTTATAACGAAAGAAAACTACCTGTTTGTCAACAGGCATCTTTGGCTTCTGCATGGGGAATGAATGGTAAAATGATAAAGTGATATGACTGCTTACCTCCCCCTCAAGCTGATCAAGTATTTGTAGGACTATTTGATGATAGGCACGCTCTGCTTCAACCTTCATAAATAGAAATAAAATGTGGGACTTATGATTTTATTATTACTCTGATCCAGTGTTTCATTAAATCAAAGCATCGCAGAATCACAAGGACAAACTGCAATACCATGGCTATAAGACGCTGAAGAGTTAATCTCTGTTGCTGTGCTTCAACAGCAGCCAATGCTGCAGCCGCTTCCTTTCCCAGTATAGTCACGTTTGTCTTCAGATCTTGCAGCTTTGCTTCAGCTGCTTCTAATTTCATAGAATTCTCAGCATTGGGTGGCATTTCTCTTACTTTTGCCTGCCGTTTAGAAACTTCAATAGCCTGTCTAGGTTAAACAGACAGAGAGTAATTACAAGTCAAAATAGCAAAAAAAAAAAATCATCAATGAAACATGTACTGAAACACAAAGACAGAGACAACAAACAGCAGGCTGACAAATTGAAATGGAAATCAAACAGTTTTTGAAAAGTTAAAAGAAAGATAAATTCTAGAATACCTGGCCTTCAGCTTCTTGCCTCATTCTGTCATAACGTTGAGCCAGATGCCGGGCATCCTCCAATGGAGCCCCCACCACCATTGCCCTTAAGGGTTCTGCAACCTAGTCAACAATATGAGCCACCGGTTTAAATAAAATAAGATTCATGAACTCGGTATATGAGTGAGGCTATTAAACTCTATTCGTAATGAGACTAGGACATAGCCTGCATATTCCTTTCGCATTGAATTAAAATAGACTTGAATATCTGTAAATCTCAACCATATTCAGTAAACCAGTTCAGTCAGGGGGAAATCCCAATCATTATTTCCGTGAAGTCAGGTTTGGGCCTTATAACCTTGCAATTGCAAGTAAATCCTCAATGAACTCATACATAAAACATATCACAACAGACAAGCATCAACACATATATAGTACCTGTGTACCAAGAGCTTTTAGCAAGTTTCCACGCTCTTTCTCTGTTTGAGCATGTGCTCGTGCAAAACTTAGTGCAGCTCTACTCAGTGTATAACCACTGGTACATGTATTTTCTGCACCATATTTCCTGCTATCTTCTGATAACTTTGTTCCTATCACATACGATATATAGGAATTCAATAACAATGTTTCCTGCAAACTAGCAGCAACAAACTCTTATGAAAGCTTCAGAAACTAATATTACTTGCCTATTTCCACTTGCTTGGACCCAGTAACAATATAACCTTCTACACCACGAACAATATCCCTTTGATAATGCTGAAAACACAAAAGGAGCTATATCAGCCTAGGGAAGAAGATCTAAATTGACATGAACTATACATGAATATATAAGCATTGAAATCTAAGAACCAAGCAACCTTCCCCGCACGGGTCGATATATAAAGTTTCTCAAGTTTCTGGTGTAGCTGGTGCTCCACTCCATCTGTAACCACATTATCTGAACCTCCATAACCGCCACCCCCAAACTGCTTCAGAACAGCCTAAATAGCAATAGTTCTGAATTTTCATCAGCAACTCGATAATTGAGAAAGGAGCAAATCAAACCAAAGGTACATTCGAGACAGAAACAAGAAAAGAAAAAAAAAAAGAACTAACAAAGGACATAACCTACACGCAATTTCAAAGTAGATTTGGTGTTGTTGTTCTCCAATCATAACATAACTAAAGCTTCTCCTCGATAATCTATGTTGCCTTGTAATTATTAATGCAGATATGATAAAATCCTAGTACCTACTAAATTGCATCTATGTTCTGTTAATGAAATGGAAAAACAGACAAGCGCTTGGCCCGGTGATCTTGAATTCAGATATTAATTTAAGCGTATCATCACAATTAAAGGTACGGAGCAGACTTGCACATGCGGTGATTTCGAATTACAGAGCACAACGCGTAAGCATGATAAGATAACGATTTAAATTCAACTTGAATATACTGTTTTCATTAATTGATTTCCGCAATGCAAGAGCGAAATTCGATTAGATCCAGTACTCTGCAATATAATATTTGACGAGAACAACATCTACAAGATTATAACTGCGCTGCGAGGAGTTAAACGAGAATTGCATCGGAAAATAGCAAATGGAGAAAAGACCTCGAGAAACTAACGATTTTCAGAGAAATAAAGGAGAAAGCGAACGATCTGCAATAACGAACCTGTTGCTGGCGAGCGACCTGTTCTCGAAGCTTCGAGGCTTGCTTTCTGATAGCATCCATGGAATTCAACTTCGTTCAGAGGAACGAATATATTTAAACTAGCCACGATAATAGTTTCAGTGATTCGGTCTCACACCACTGCCTCTGCCACCAACAACTTCTTCCAAACGATATCCGTTCATTGAGCTTTTGATCCTTCCTCGAGAAACCTGTCTCTTTTCAAACCATTTTATTTCTTTTTTTTTAAGTAAAAACAGTTGCCATACAATTATCACTTTTCTAAAGCACCACGGTATTACATCATATGGAGTTATATATATATATATACACACACACACACACTCTCTGCAAGATGAATTAGATGAAATATAAAAGGGGGAAATGAACTCGGCACAAGTTTGGTTCTGTTTATCCGTGGATTGGAAAGTGAACGAAATAATAAAGCGATTTATGAATAATAGTTTTGTTTTATTTTAAATAACTTAAATTAGTTTTGTTTCGTTTTATTATACTCTATGAATTTAATATCCTAGCCTCTTCCTTTTCTATGTGTACTCAAACCAGAACTTGTCTACTATTGGATTGGCCTTTTTTATGGGCTTTTTTTAGAAGTTTTGATGGGCTAGAATGTTGGGTTTACAGCTTGTGGGTATTTGTTGGATGTTTGGATGACAGTTTCTTCCATAATTTCTTTCCGTATTTCATAATATATGTAAAATATTCAAAAATAGTTGTGCTTTTTTTAAAAAAAATCTTTGAAATCCTACTTTAAAGCTAACTTTTCTCTTTTACACCGTACCTCCATATCAAAGAGCACACATATATTTTTAACATTTTATCTATGTTATGGAGTGTAAGAAGAAATTATTTGGACGAGTTTTTTCTTAAAAAAATGGAAAGAATAACTAAAATTATTTTTTTATAAGTTAAAATTAGTTTATATATAAAGTAATTTGTAAAAAAATTTATACAATTCTTAAAAAGAAAAAAAATTAACTTGTGCATTAATTAATTTTAATAATGAAAATATAAATTCTTATTTTTTTCTATAAATTTTTATGTTATCTCAATAATAATAATAACAATAATGTTCAAGTGAGATCTTACATCACATCTCATTTTCTCTGGATTTTTTTTTTATTGTCTTTCACGTTTTTTAGTTGTCCCACTATTTGAAAATGTGTATTTCTTTAGTTTCACAACAATTTTTTTTTTTCACTTGTGCTCCTAAGATACTTTATTAGACTCTAACACACGTTAATAGTGTAGAGTCAATCCACAAATTCATCAAATCAAGTTTACCTTTGACATTTGAAGTCCCCACTCTAATGCCACTGCTCTAAAATATTTTCTTTTGAATGTGATGGTTACTAGTGAAAGAGAAATCATTATTGGAATCATCTTTTCTTTGACATCTCATACGTTTTTCTTCGAATTCATTGGATTTCAACTATGCCCTGAAGTTGTATTCGACGTCTCATGTCTTCCTTCCCAATTCGTGGATAAGTCTTTGACTTTGTGGCATGTTGAAACTTCAGGTGAATATAAGGATTTAAAAAAAAAATAAAAGGGTTACAGAAGAAACAATGAATCTACTAATATAACATAAAATGCCTGTTGAAAACATCATTTTTTGTCATAATAATTAGATTCCAAAGTTTTTAGATTTTAAGATGAAAATACTATCTAGGATTAATATAAAAATAGAATCATTATCTTCTTTCTCAACCAGAAAAGGGTTATGTTCGCATTATTCATATCATAACAATAAATAATATACGGAGTTGACATCACCATCAATTATTCCAGTTTTAGTCAATGTAATAGGACATGGCTGGAAAGATAAAGGAAAGATAAAGTGGCAATCTAGAAGAAAGTTCATTTTCATGGTCCTCAATTTCCGTTTTCGATCTTTCTTTATCCTCCCAATAGGTACAAAGATTCCAAGATAAATGATGCAGCTAAAAGCTGATACTGTGGCCACCATTAAATGCTGGCAGTGTTGGTGGAACCTGTACTTAGTGGGTTTGTTTATTGAGCAATGATTCTTAATAGAACCAAACCAATGAACAACCAAAAATATTAACATAGTGATAAATATTATTAATATTATTATTAATTAATACAAGCAGTTGTTGATGAAATGTTTTGTTTATTTGACTCCTCCGTACAGTATTACACAATCCAAAATCTACTAACCCAGACTATAACTCAAACAGTGTTTTTTTCTTGTTCTCATTGTTGCTTTCATTCCCTCATGGCTCTTCCCTGGAATTTAGTCATCACTTTCATGCTTGTTCTGCAACAACAATCTTGTGTCCTTGTCACCCTTGCCTCAAGCAATGTAAACTCTGTTTCTCTTTTTTTCTACCAACCATATTTTGGTTTTCCCTTAGTATTTTGTATTTTACCTCTTGCATCCTACTTATTTGGTTCTCTTTCTTGTTCCTGGTTTTTGTAGGTCCATATTGTGTATATGGGTGACAACAGAATGAAGCAGAGTGAGCAACAGTTGGTTCAAGACTCCCATCTTGACATACTGTCAAGTACTCTCGGAAGGTCAATTACCGTTTAATTCATTTTTCTTTTTTCATTGAAATGTTTCTATTCCTCTGAATTTTCAATTTGAGTTTAGAAACGTGGTGTGTACTTGGTGTGTGTGAGAGAAACCATGGAAGGTAGTCCACCCTGCCTATTTTGATGCACATATCCATGTTTGGAATTTTTAACATGAGCAACCTACCTTGCACATTCTTGGACTGAAGAAATAAAATTTCCTTTGAAAAGTAAAATTGAGAATCTGATGTGTTCTTTTTAATTTTTTCAGCAAAGACGCTGCTAGGAAGTCCATCCTGTATAGCTATAAGCATGGCTTTTCTGGATTCGCTGCAGTTTTAAGTCAGCCTCAAGCTAGGCTCATTGCAGGTAATTTCAAAGTTGAGTCTATATCCAGATTGGTAATATGTGAAAGCATTGCAAAATACTTTCTGTGAAAATAAATAAATAGAATCAAAATAAAGGTGAACAATTTTGATGATTAATATTTTTTACTTGATTAGAAGATATGTCAACCTTTGTACTCTCATTCCAAAGCAATAGTCTTTTTAGTTTTTATTTTAAATTTTTTTTTCTAAGACGATAGTCTTTTAAACCCTTTTGAAGCTAGTTTTTCTAACAATACCGCTACATATCATTAAAAGTAATTAATGCATAACATAACCTTAAAAAAAAATTGTTTTTGGAATGGAGGGAGTACGTGAGATTAATGATTATGAATTGCATTCAGACAAAAATTAAAGTGGTCCCCAGATGCGTGACAACAAAACCAGCCAAAGCTAGCACCAGCCATGGACTATTCCATCATGCAGGATTTTTAAATCTTAGTGAAATTAAGGAAATCATGCAGAAAGATAGCTAATTTGAGGATATGGAATGCTGTGGCAACTTCAATTCTGACAAATACATAAACCACGATCTCTCGTGTTTAGCAAAAATGTCAAAATTATGGTTGTAAATAATATATATACATATATATATGATGAATGAATGTGATAGGAATATGGGTATTATGGGGTGTTTATGTCCTGCATCGAATAATATGAGATGCTTGATGGTGTATTTTAGTGTTTGGTTTTCTTAGGATGAGCATGCTGTCATATCTCGATCAAAAGCTCTCCCAATCAAGTACTAATAACTTTCTCTCCTTGTCTGCATTTTTTACATGCAGATTTCCCAGGAGTTGTCCGTGTAATTCCAAATAAAATTCTCAGTCTTCACACAACAAGAAGTTGGGACTTTTTGCACGTAAAGCAAGAAATAACAACCGGTGCTCTTTATAGGGGTCAATCTGGAAGAGGCACCATCATCGGCATCATGGACACTGGTTAGTATGGAATTTCTGTGTATGCACGCGCGTGCATGTAAACATCATAAAATGGGATTGTGATTATATGACTGATTGTTTACTGTGCAGGTATTTGGCCAGAGTCTGAGAGCTTTAGAGATGAACACATGGATAATCCTCCTCTTCACTGGCGTGGTATATGCGAAGGAGGAGAAAATTTTGACCGCTCCATTTGCAATAGGTTCATTAAAAACTAATTTTTTAGTCATTAATGTGTTTTGTCTTTAGTTTTTGCAGATAGGTATATAGTAGGATGTCTTCAATTTATTGAGGACTTAATAGGATTTAGTTCACATAATAGGGATAGATGAACTTATCAGAGTTAATTGATATATTTAATTGGCAAAATAGGTTGTTTTAGGGGCACTTGAAAAAGGTAAGAATCTCATCTTGCTTAATTATAATTTGTTCTGTATCTTATACAACATGTCTCTAAGAATTTAAAACTGACATGCAAGAGGTGTGGACTCACGCGGATGAACTGGAGTCTGATGAACCTAATGTTACAGACTTGTTTTGGCTTAAAATTTGAGATGGTCCAGTAAATTTACACATGTTTTGTTCTTAAAATATTTTGGTGGAAAATGTAACCTTAAATGGTATCTTTTCGTATGATGGCAGGAAAATTATTGGTGCACGTTGGTATATTAAAGGATATGAAGCTGAAATTGGTAAACTAAATACAAGCGATGGGGTTGAGTACTTGTCTCCTCGAGATGCATCAGGCCATGGAACTCACACATCATCTACTGCAGCTGGTGTTTCAGTGGAAAATGCAAGCTTTATGGGACTAGCTAAAGGATTGGCAAGAGGTGGTGCTCCATCTGCTTGGTTAGCAGTCTACAAAATTTGTTGGTCTACTGGGGGATGCAGCTCTGCAGATATTCTTGCAGCTTTTGACGATGCAATATTTGATGGGGTTGACATTCTTTCAGCATCTCTTGGCTCAGATCCTCCACTTCCTACTTATGTTGAGGATGCGCTGGCCATTGGTTCTTTCCATGCTGTTGCTAAAGGAATTTCTGTGGTATGTTCTGGTGGCAATTCTGGTCCATATCCCCAAACTGTCATAAACACTGCACCTTGGGTTATTACCGTTGCTGCTAGTACCATAGACAGAGAATTTCCATCAAGGATTATCCTCGGAAACAATCAA